CACTCATTTCGGGTAGGGTACGGGTACGGGTAGGGAACGGGTACCCATTTGCGACCCTGGTGCGGCCGGGTACGGGTACGGGTAAGGAATCAAAACCCGTTTGCGACCTCTGGGTGGAAGGGGTGGGCACCCACCGTGGCACATTGCTTTTCGTGATAACAAACAAACACATGGACATGAGCATTATCATGGAACCTTATTATTCCGAACTTATTCTTCTTCTTCCGCCCTATTAATTCAATGCAATGTCTCGTCGTTTGCACGGAAAATTCCGTGTAGCCAGTTACCCAGCTAGCTGAAGGCGGCGAGAGTTACCGTTGGGGTGGTGAGGAACCCAGCCAGCAGCCAGCCAGGAAACTCGAGGGCACAGATTCGTTTTATTATTACACTCTATCCTCAAATATTGTAACTCAATTTTAACCCACTTCCCAGTGTGGTATCGACTGGAAACTCGGTATACTTATGTCATACTGATGACAATACTATGTTCTATCATACATTTTCTTTAAACAATCTTTTTTATGTGTTATTTTTCGGCTTGGGTATAATTGTCCATGACGGTCAACTGACGTTGGCTGTAATTGGCCACGGTCCCTTACGTCATGGCAAGCTTCGGGGCCACTTCCTGGAGTCGTGGAGTTCTTCCATTACTAGTACATTTCATACAGGTAGGAACATCCTAGTTACACCAGCCCACAGGGGATTATTGTGTCCGTCCGTCCGTCGTGCATCCAAAACTGGGAGGGGTGGGGCTGGATGGAGAGGGGAGGGTGGGGAGGGGCTGGGTGGGGAGGGTGGAGAGGGGCTGGGTGGAGAGGGTGGGGAAGGGCTGGGTGGTGGGAGGGGTGGGGCTGGGTGGGGGGGCTGGTCACCCCGTGGTGCCCTTATAAAACTCAACGTTTAACCTACTCACGCCGGCTTGTGCCCGCCCTCACAGTCGGGCATATTTGCGGAATACACCACGCCGCCGTTGACCCTGCAGGCCATTGACCGTGCAACCCAACGTTCCTACCAGCTCCCTCCGCAGGAATGTTTTAAAAGCGTGTTAAAAAAAAGTTTTTTTAAATATTACTTATTTAAATCGTACTATTATTTATTCCGCGTTCAGTTCAATACGTCGTGGGAGGTGTCGAACGTCAACAAAACGTGACAATTGGTGACTAGTACAGCACACCGGTGTGTTGGAGAGTAAACCCGCTGCTCGGTGTGCAGTCCTAGTCACGAATCGGCACGTTCTGTTGACGTGACAACTCTTACTAATTGGCTGTGTCGGGTGGAGGCGGGTTTAACGACACATTTATATTTACGCGATCTAACGCAAAAAAACCCTCTATTACGGATTATTCCGCTTAGTTTAACCCAGGACAAAAAAATAAAACCCACCACATCACCGAATCCTGTCGAGTTTTCTGGGGCCGATGATGTTTTTTTAAATTTTGTTTTGGCAAAATTTGGACACTGGCACCGCCAACCGATGTGTCGCCTCTTGTGACTGACGTCACAGGGATTTTTAACGTCACCTGTGAAGCAAACGGCGTGCAGTGTATTTGTTGTTGTTGTTGTTTATGGTTTCCACAACGGAAAGTGAAAACAAGAAATTGTCTTTAGCCTTTCCGGCAATGATACAGGTGGTACTAAGATGTTCAAACACCAACTAGACAATACCTAATTCTAGATTTGAAGCTTTCGTGACTGCAAGGATTCATACTCTTAGGTTTTTTCGGTAAAGTCACGTAGGTAAAAAAATGAAATTAAATTAATAAAAAATAAAATAATAAAAATCACGTTACAGCAAATCTGGCTGTGACGGTCCCACCTGATGACGGAGACTTGTGTTGCCTCCAAAACGTGGTGATTTTTATTATTTAATTTTTTATTAATTTTAATTTCATTTTTTTACCTACGTGACTTTACCGAAAAAACTAAGAGTATAGACAATACCTGTTATAACAAGGCATCACACATCATGCTTGTGGTAGAACATGCACACAAACACGCGTTGATAATACTTTATGTGCATCGTCTTTGAAACCTACACCAGAGACGGCCTTCTAAATGGCCTCAGTCTCATAGGTGCGGGGGAAGGGCAATAAACTAAAAACAAGAATCAGTTCTGAAGAAATCAGTTCACAAATTGAGATGTGTACAGCTCCAGTGGCTTCCTAATATCGGACGGAAGAGCGTTCCAGACGGCCGCAAAAGCATCATGGGAAGGCGCCGTCTTTGTCCAAAAGGCAATGCACGAATAGCAAAGCATTGACACCACTCGGGTTGAAGAGGGAATGTCTACTGGTGAGGGTCGGCCACTGGAGACTTCGCGCAAATATCTGCAAACAAATAAACAAACGACAACAACAACAACAACAAGCGAATTGCCCGATGATGCTGGATGCAATTACCAGCGAAACGTCGTACTCAAATTGTAAATGTTGTGGCTTCAACACACCGGTGGGCTAAAGCAGTGAACTATTTGTCTTTGTCAACGTGACACATTTTTACTGATTGGCCGTGTCGGGTGGTGGAGGGTTACGACACATTTATAAATAAACGCGATCTAAACCCAAAAACGTTGATTATGAACAAGAAGCTCCATTGACGCTGGTGGGTTGCGGACGGGGGCTTCGTGATGCCAAGTCTGAGTTGGATACTGCCCTCTGGCGCACGAACGCGTGAAGGCCAGGGGGTTGCTCTTAAAAATCGCGGCTACTGAGCAAACAAGTTTAGTTCAGTTTCAGTTCATTTATTTGGTAAAGCCCTGTGAGCCATTCGGCTTTTGAATCGGGGGCAACCGCAACAAACAAAAACATGAACAAGAAACATCTTAAAGTGACTGCGCGCAATAGAAAAATCCAGAAAAAACTGCAAAGTCTTCCAGAAAAAGCACCGTATATCAATGCTGTGTGCAAAAATCACAATGGGATGCAAGTCAAACAATAACAACCATAAGACAATTTAGATTAAGGTTATCAGTCTAACTCTGTACTACAACAAACAAATATGGCTCAACCAAAACGTTTTCGAAATCACCAAAATAAAGCTGTAAAAACATAGGAACTGTGATGCATGAGTCACTCCATAACAGCAGGAGTATCAGTAGGAGTATCAAAATTTTCAATGCATCTTCTTGGTTCTTTCGGTAAAGTCACGTAGAAGGGAAGTAATAACATAATAAAAATAAAACATAATAAAATAATTATCACGACGTTTCGGCCACAACGCAAGCAGCCGTCCTCAGGTGAAGACCAGGTCTGTCGGGGAGACAGCGTCACACCACCCACCCACTCACCCCGACAGACCTGGTCTTCACCTGAGGACGGCTGCTTGCGTTGTGGCCGAAACGTCGTGAGAATTATTTTATTATGTTTTATTTTTATTATTTGTATTATTTCGCTTCTACGTGACTTTACCGAAAGAACCAAGAAGATGAATCCCTGCAGTCACGAAAGCTTTAAATCGAAATTTTCAATGCACCTTTAAAGATCAGCACACTATAACCGGACCCCGAAGGTCCCCTCCAAATAACGCCAAAACGGCGAGCAAATAGAACGACCACCCTTGAAGTTGCAGTTGACAGCGAGAGTAGCTTTGACGAGTTTCATGAGTTGAGCGAGGTGATGTTAAGAGCTTGGATGGTGGTGGGAGGGAATTCCAAAGTGGAGCGGAGCGAGAATTGAGGTGAGTGGATGGGTCAGTGGTTGTGACCTGCAGTGTGGTGAGTGGGTGGGTGAGTGGTTGTGGCTGGTGTGTGGTGAGTGGATGAGTGGGTGGGTGGTGTGTGGTGAGTGTGTGGGTGGTGTGTGGTGAGTGGATGAGTGGGTGGGTGGTGTGTGGTGAGTGGGTGGGTGGTGGGTGGTGTGTGGTGAGTGGTTGTGGCTGGTGTGTGGTGTGTGGTGAGTGGGTGTGTGGTGAGGGGTTGTGGCAGGTGTGTGGTGAGTGGATGAGTGGGTGGGTGGTGTGTGGTGAGTGGGTGGGTGGTTTGTGGTGAGTGGATGAGTGGGTGGGTGGTGTGTGGTGAGTGGTTGTGGCCTGCAGTGTGGTGAGTGGGTGGGTGAGTGGGTGGGTGGTGTGTGATGAGTGGTGGATGAGTGGGTGGGTGGTGTGTGGTGAGTGGTTGTGGCCTGCAGTGTGGTGAGTGGGTGAGTGGTGTGGCTGGTGTGTGGTGTGTGGTGAGTGGGTGGGTGGGTGAGTGGTGTGGCTGGAAGGTGGTGAGTGGGTGGGTGAGTGGTGTGACCTGCAGTGTGGTAAGTGAGTGGTGTGGATGGTGTGTGGTGTGTGGTGAGTGGGTGAGTTGGGGGGTTGGGGGGAGGGTGTGGAGGAGGAGTGGGTGAGTGGGTGAGTGAGTGGGTGAGTGAGTGGGTGAGTGAGTGGGTGGGTGAGTGAGGGGTGAGTGAGTGGGTGGGTGAGTGAGTGGGTGGGTGAGTGGTTGTAGCTGGTGTGTGGTGAGTGGGTGTGTGGGTGGGTGAGTGGTTGTCGCTGGTGTGTGGTGAGTGGGTGTGTGGTGAGTGGGTGTGTGGGTGGGTGAGTGGTTTGGCTGGTGTGTGGTGAGTGGGTGTGTGGTGAGTGGGTGAGTGGTTTGGCTGGTGTGTGGTGAGTGGGTGTGTGGTGAGTGGGTGAGTGGTTTGGCTGGTGTGTGGTGAGTGGGTGTGTGGTGAGTGGGTGTGTGGTGAGTGGGTGAGTGGTTTGGCTGGTGTGTGGTGAGTGGGTGTGTGGTGAGTGGGTGTGTGGTGAGTGGGTGAGTGGTGTGGCTGGAGTGTGGTGAGTGGGTGTGTGGTGAGTGGGTGAGTGGTTGTGACCTGCAGAGTGGTGAGTAGGTGAGTGGTTGTGGCTGGTGTGTGTTGAGTGAGTTGGTGTGTGGGGTTGTGACCTGCAGTGTGCTCAGGTTTTTGTAAATACATTTATTAATCATCCAATCAACTCGCCGGTTCACCAAACGATGAATTTATTGAATTCTGAACCTTGATCGATTATGGGCGGAAATCGATTATCCCCCCCACAGACCTCCCCGGAAGTGACGTCACTCGCCTGGCGCCAACTGCCTCTCCCGGTGACGCCACTTCCTCTTCGTTCCGGCTCTCGCGGTGGGAGCAGCCATAGCTGTAGGTACCGCGCTCGCAATCCGTTGTCGATCTCGCCCTTTCGTCGCCATCGTCGCCACGTCTGGCGTCCGCGCGTCGCGTGATCGCGCCGCGCGTTCGATGTCGTCTTCGTCTTTTTTTTGCGTCGACGGCGGGAGGCGTTAATGCGATAGCCGTTCACGTGACCCAAGCCTGCGCTCGCCTGAGCTGGGCCGAGGCTTCGCTGAAATGGTCTCTCGCTGCGACACGTGACCGCAGTGTAACATAATAACTTTAAAAAAACTGGTTTAATGTTTTACGTTTGACTGCAGCGTTGGTGGTTAATTGTGTTCGCGTACGCCGAAAGCTACATCGGGTGGGTGGTGGTGTTCATAATTGTGTGGGGACTTTTGTTTTAAAACCCACAGTTGGTGGAGCGAAGGCCCAAACGCCGAGTGGCCTGCGATAAGCGTAACTTAAAAGTTGTAATCGATGCAGAGCCAATACTTTAATTGACGATAACGATGTTATTAGAGGTTGGTTGAAGCCTTGCATTGGTGAAGTGAGACGATGGGAATTCCAAAGTGGAGCGTTGCGAGGAAAAATGCGGAAATAATCATAATCCATAATGTAGAATAATACATCTTCTTGGTTCTTTCGGTAAAGTCACGTAGAAGGGAAGTAATAAAGTAATAAAAATAAAACAATAAAATCATTCTCACGACGTTTCGGCCACAACGCAAGCAGCCGTCCTCGACAGACCTGGTTTCACCTGAGGACGGCTGCTTGCGTTGTGGCCGAAACGTCGTGAGAATGATTTTATTATGTTTTATTTTTATTATTTTATTACTTCCCTTCTACGTGACTTACCGAAAGAACCAAGAAGATGAATCCCTGCAGTCACGAAAGCTTTAAATCGAAATTTAAGTGGGTATAAGTTAAGGAGTTCAAAGTCCTAGTTTAACGACGCCGCTGTCAATCGATATATTCCCGCGATCATGCCGATACAATGGTTGGTACAGTACTGTAGTTTGGATGATCATTCCGATACAATGGTAGGTACAGTACTGTAGTTTGGATGATCATTCCGATACAATGGTAGGTACAGTACTGTAGTTTGGATGATCATTCCGATACAATGGTTGGTACAGTACTGTAGTTTGGATGATCATTCCGATACAATGGTAGGTACAGTACTGTAGTTTGGATGATCATTCCGATACAATGGTAGGTACAGTACTGTAGTTTGGATGATCATTCCGATAAGGTAGTTTGGGATGATCATTCCGATACAATGGTTGGTACAGTACTGTAGTTTGGATGATCATTCCGATACAATGGTAGGTACAGTACTGTAGTTTGGATGATCATTCCGATACAATGGTAGGTACAGTACTGTAGTTTGGATGATCATTCCGATACAATGGTTGGTACAGTGCTGTAGTTTGGATGATCATTCCGATACAATGGTTGGTACAGTACTGTATTTTGGATGATCATGCCGATACAATGGTAGGTACAGTACTGTAGTTTGGATGATCCTTGGTGGAGGGGGTCTTTATCCATTGGTGGTTTGAGAATGTTATTTTGTTTGATGGCCATATGAAATGTCTCTGCTGTGACCGAGAGTCAGCAACCAAAATAACAAGCAGAGCCGGGTTTTGTTTTAATTCGGTAGAGAACTTTTTTTGTAATTTAAAGTGCCGCAATGCTCGTCAATAACGTCACGAATCAGTCCTTAAAGAGTCTCATGCGGCTACAGAGCCGCATATTGCCCCACTTCTGGAGTCTTATGACGAACCAATTTGATGGCCCTAACACAATTCTTCGTCCACATACGCTTTTTAGCTCTTTATCCTTAAACCCAAACGTAAAGTTTTCCATTGTTCAGTGTCTTGTGTTCCCTATCCCAAGCCTCGATCTGCGGCCGTCACCCACACAATATCACGGCCATGATGTGCATAGAACCCCGTGGCTTTAACTCGTGATCTGAAACGGCGATTATCGATATCTCACCTAGCCCACGTGTTGATAAACCCAGGATCATGTCCGGCGTTTCACTCGCTCCACGCGCTCGCATCTTCTTGAGGAAACGCACGAGTAACGAAGCAAGTTGATTCGGTTTCTTAAAGAAGCGTCCAACACGTGGAAGCGGAACGTCGCAGGCGTTCTGCTAAAATCTGCGCGCGGTACAATCGGGGAGCCATGTGGCTCAACCCACCCCGTGAGGTCTTAGCAACCATCCGGGGATGTCTACGATGGGCATGGCGGCACGGTGTCTCTCACGAACTCCCCTCTGAGCCACGAAGTCTACCCGCGTGGGCTAGTTCCCGTGATGACTCAATATTTCATCCCAGGTCTGCCAATCGGGTGAACTCTGTGTATGATCTTCTTGGTTCTTTCGGTAAAGTCACTTAGAAGGGAAATAATAAAATAAGAATAAATCATAAAATACAATTCTCACGACGTTTCGGCCACAATGCAAGCAGCCGTCCTCAGGTGAAGAACAGGTCTGTCGGAAAGACAGCGTCTGAATGAAAGAACAGGTCTGTCTTTCCAACAGACCTGTTCTTCACCTGAGAACGGCTGCTTGCGTTGTGACCGAAACGTCGTGAGAATTGTATTTTATTATGTTTTATTCTTATTTTATTATTTCCCTTCTACGTGACTTTACCGAAAAAGCCAAGAAGATGAATCCCTGCAGTCACGAAAGTTTTAAATCGGTGTATGATTTTGATGTATATATAGAAAATTACCATGTTTGGTCTTCCTTGGGGCACTGCAGTCTCGAATAACGGAACTAAATTATCTTAGCCTGCATTTTAATTCATGCTTGTCTCCTCATAGTCCTGCTTTATGATTTTCATCCACTCCCAGTCACCTCTTGATGAAACAAATTAAAACACTCTTCTTGGTTCTTTCGGTAAAGTCACGTAGAAGGGAAATAAAATAATTAAACTAAAACATAATAAAATAATTCTCACGACGTTTTGGTCACAACGCAAGCAGCCGTCCTCAGGTGAAGAACAGGTCTGTCGGGAAGACAGCGTCTGAATAGTCAGCAACCAAGATAACAAGCACCATTCAGACACTGTCTTCCCGACAGACCTGTTCTTCACCTGAGGACGGCTGCTTGCGTTGTGGCCGAAACGTCGTAAGAATTATTTAATGATGTTTAACTTTTTTATTTCCCTTCTACGTGACTTTACCGAAAGAACCAATAAAATGAATCCCTGCAGTCACGAAAGCTTTAAATCGAAATGTATTTGTAAATACTAAGTGACCAACATGAATACTGCTCTGGATTACAAGACGCACTCCAGTGGGTTATTTGTGTTCCGCTGGGTACGGTGTCATTGATCAAAAACATAAAGCAACCGCCCTTTTCGATTAATATTTTCGTCGCTAATTTCGTGAAACAAAGTTAACGCTGTTTCCCCGTCTCTTCCGCACGCAAGTCGTCCAGCAAGGGAGGGCACGCTCATTGCCCCCACCTCTCCTAAAGCGCTTGCCAGAGAAAACCCCGGGGTGGTTTGAGGCCGCGTTCGGCTCTTCCCGGACGCGGTTATAGAATCCTCGCACAGAAAATAATCGATGGACTCTCCACACTCCGCCTGTCCTGCTACTACTCTCTCCATCACCGTTGCTCCACCATTTTCTTCCCTTCACCAATGCTCGTCGTGACAGCAGCCTTGTCTCTAGCATTTAAACCCCGGTGGGGGAGTGTTCGGAACCATTAGAGCGTAAAAGTTAAAGGGTGCATACGTCTTATAGTCTGGTAACTCCGTTAACTATGCTCCACCGTTTCCCTTTCGGTAGTCTTCACCCATGCTGAGTGACAGATCTCTGGCATATTAACCCGGGGGTGGGGGGAAACTTTTACCTTGCCAAGGGCTCATGACTTTCAAATACCTTTTTGGTAGGCAACTACACATTAACACCTTATCGTTGTGAAATAACAAACACTGTTGTTTTGAAGTTGAAAATATTCGATCTTGATTGGAAGCTTTCGTGACTGCATGAATCCATACTCTTTGGTTCAAAATTAGTGCAGTTAAGTTGCTTCAGTTTTGTCTGTGGGCCGTTTAGAAGCTTATGTGGACACGGGCTGCATGAAGTGAAGACAACAGCCCTTGCTCGACAGATAATACAAGTGAGAGCGCGAGCGGGAGATGCAACTATTTGTGGGAAAAGATGAGTGGCTTGCTGATGAGAATGCACGTTGTTGTGTATTCTTGTTCAGAGCCATGGGCAAGTTCCTGAAGCCGGGCAAGGTGGTGCTGGTGCTGGCGGGGCGTTACGCCGGACGCAAGGCCGTCATCGTCAAGGTAACGACGGAGATTCCAGGGAGTTGGCGACACTGAGATGTTAACGCCGGCGGCGCTCAAGGCGCAGTAATGAGCTGTGGCTCACGACCACCGTTGAGGGGGGGGCACGTGGGAATGTGTCGTTGGAGTTCGTTTTAGACGAACAAAAAAAATCACGACTGATAAGTACAGACCCAAAACGCCATTCTGGAATTGAGTTTCCGCCTTCATTCCGGCAATTCCGTTCCGTCGTAGCCGTGTCTTTAGTGGGTAGTCTTCATCATCCTCGTGCACCTGAATGATTTTTGCCCGCTCATCGTCACCCCTGACGCAACACGAGTAAAACCCCACTTTTTTGACGAATATTTTCGTCACTTCTCTCTGAACACTGCTTCTCCATCTCTCACGCACGCAAGTCGTCCAGCAAGGGAGGGCACGCTCATTGCCCCCACCTCTCCTAAAGCGCTTGCCAGAGAAAACCCCGGGGTGGTTTGAGGCCGCGTTCGGCTTCTCCCGGACGCGGTTATAGAATCCTCGTACAAAAACATTATCCGGGTGACCTGAACAGCCTCACTACTGAAGGTGTAAGATGAGGGTTTATACGTGTCTCGGACGAAGCGAGGTTGTAAGAACTTGGGGGTGAAAGGGTCGATGAGAGGGGATTGCAAGGTGTGAAGGAATCGGCAGACGTGTCATGTGTGAGTGGTGTGCGTTCAGCCTGCAAACAAAACCTACGTTTGGTCACGTGAAATATCAGGACTGACCACAGGAGGGCGCTACAGACGGTGCAGCCAGCTATGAACTGGTTCAGATGAAGTCAAGTAGTAAAGTATGAGTGTGTGTCTCCCCCCACCGCCTCTGCCGGTGTAGAACCAGGATGAGGGCACGGCAGACCGGCCGTACGGGCACGCTCTGGTCGCCGGTATCGACCGCTACCCGCGCAAGGTGACGGCGCGCATGGGCAAGAAGAAGCTTGCGAAGCGCTCCAAGGTGAAGAGCTTCGTGAAGGTGTTCAACTACAACCACCTCATGCCCACCCGGTGAGCCCCCGTGTGTTGAGTGTGTGTGTGTTGAACTTTTTTCGCATCGTACGTAGCCAACCGTGCTAATCCGAGGTGCGGGGAAAGGACAACAAACCTAAAACGAGCAATTCTAGATGTAATAGTGCATGGCTCCAGTGGCTTCCTAATATTGGAAGGAAGAGCGTTCCAGACGGCCGCAGGAGTGCATCTGAAAGCGGTGGTTAGTCAAAAGCCGCTGCGAGGATGACCGGAGTTTGCGTGATGGTGTATGTTCCTTCACGAGATCAGTATGAAGGAGAGTGTACGGACACCCGCCGAGACTGTGCGAGTAAGTTTGGGAACGTGTGTGTCTATGTGCGTAAGAGATTGTGTGTGTGTATGTAGTAGTGGTGTGTTTGGTTGTTTAAAATAATCTCAGTGTGTGGTGGTGTAGGAAGTGTTGGCAGTAGTGGTGTGGTGGTGAATGTCATGGTAATGGTGGCGCTGAATGTAGCGGTTTATGTAATGGTAGTTATGTTGGTGTTGTGTGTGATTGTTTTTACCCTTTTATCTGGCAACAAAACTGACACCTTTTTTTACAAGGAGTCATGTTTGCATTAACCACAATACCTACGGCCGGAATGCAAACAAAAAACACAACTCTGATAATGTATGCACTGTCCTTGAAATTGATTGGTCCACACCCGAGACAGCTTTTCTTAGAGCCTAGTCTCACATGGTGTTGGACCAGATGACATCAGAGTTGTGTTTTTTGTTTGCATTCCGACCGCAGGTATTGTGGTCAATGCAAACATGACTCCTTGTAAAAAAAAGGTGTCAGTTTTGTTGCCAGATAGAAGGATAAAAAAACAATTATCATATTTTGCTACTGGCAAAGGAGGTTCCAATGGTGTTGTGTGTGTTGGTGGTGTACGTAGTGGTGTGTATGTAACGGAACCGGTGTTGTGTGGTGGTGGTGACGGTGCAGCTACTCGGTTGACATCCCTCTGGACAAGACAGTGGTGAACAAGGACGTGTTCCGGGACCCAGCGCTCAAGCGCAAGGCGCGTCGCGAGGCCAAGGTCAAGTTTGAGGAGAGGTGAGTGACCACCCGGCACACGCGGCCCCAGAGGGTGGTGGTGGTGGTGGTGGTACCGCACTCACTTCCCTCAGCCTCACGGAGGCGATATGAGAATTCTAGATTTGAAGCTTTCGTGAATGCAAGGATTCATATTCTTAGGTTTTTTCGGTAAAGTCACGTAGGTAAAAAAATTTGATTAATAAAATAAAAATAAAATACAATCACGACGTTTCGGAGGCAACACAAGCTTCCGTCTTCAGGTGGAACCGTCACAGCACGATAGCTGTATCATTTACTTGAAACAGCAATCGGGCTGTGACGGTTCCACCTGAAGACGGAAGCTTGTGTTGCCTCCGAAACGTCGTGATTTTTATTTTTATTTTACTTTTATTAATTTAAATTTTTTACCTACGTGACTTTACCGATAAAACCTAAGAATATGCGATATGAGAAGACCGCAATCCTCTGGCTTTATAAGACTCACTCCCTCCAGATCTCCAGTGGGTTAGTTTGGATTTGTTCCGCGACCGCGTTTCGTGAAACGAAATGAATGGCTGCTGAGTACAGGCCTCGAAACGACATTCGGGAACTGAGTTTCCGCCTTCATTCAGACTCGGCAATTTCGTTTCGTCTTAGCCGTGTCTTTAGTGGGTAGTCGTCGTCATCCTCATGCACCTGAATAATTTTTGCCCGCTCATCGTCACCGTTGACGCAACACGAGTAAAAACCCCACTTTGTTGACGAATAGTTCCGTCACTAATTTCACTGCTTAACCCGTTTCTTCCGCACGCAAGTCGTCCAGCAAGGGAGGGCACGCTCATTGCCCCCACCTCTCCTAAAGCGCTTGCCAGAGAAAACCCCGGGGTGGTTTGAGGCCGCGTTCGGCTCCTCCCGGACGCGGTTATAGAATCCTCGCACAGAAAATAATCGATGGACCTGCTCCACACTCCGCCTCTCCTACTGCGATTCTCGCCAGTCGGCCACCGCCGCCGCTGCTGCTGCTGCAGCAGGGAGTTGGGGAACTTACGGCACTTCGCCGAATTCATGTCAGGGGAGCCAATTGCATACAGCCTGTAGCTACGTAATGATTATAATGCCCCACCGATTCAGAGTGGTCTAAAAAATGTTTTTTATCCGTCGCTGCAAGGGGTTCACAGCTGCACTGATTGGGTACTAAGGGGGGCTATACTTTCGACCTGGAATTACTGCTTATAACTTTCTCTGCTGTTGCAGCAAGAGGGGGGGCCCACCACTGGTCAGTGAGGCTTGGTTGAAGGTGGGGGGGTGGGGAGCATTGACATTGGAGCTTAGGACAGCACGACAATGATTTTGCTTGCACGGCCTTCTTACAGCCCACAACGGAGCCCAGTAGAAGCCTAGATTTGAAGTTTTCATGACTGCAGGGATCCATACTCTTTGGTTCTTGCGGTAAAGTCACGTAGGTATAAAATAAAATTAAATCACCGCCCTCTCTAACTTGTATAACCGCCTTAACTCCGGCATCTCTCCCACTTCAGTAAAACATTTCTTGCTGTGTTTGTTACACCTGATGACGATTGCTTGTGTTGCAATCGAAACGTCGTGATTACATTTATTTAATTTAATATCTACGCGACTTTACCGAAAGAACCAAAGACTACAGTAGAAGCCTCTACAGACGTCTGTGTCATGTGCTTGGTGGTTGCCCATCCAGGTGGTGCTGTTGAGGCTTTCAACCCTGCTTCGCTTTCGAGGCCCGCCGAGATCGGGCACATTCCGTTGCGATGTCATAGGCAGCACGAACAATGGGGCAGCAATATCGACTTGAGTCTGGAGCAGGGATCGGTAACCAAAATAACAGAAGGGCCATTTTACTCGAATTGGGTTAAACAAAAAAACACGTTCCTGCGGAGGGAGCTGGTAGGAACGTTGGGTTGCTCGGTCAATGGCCTGCAGGGTCAACGGCCAGGGCGTGGTGTATTCCGCAAATATGCCCGACTGTGAGGGCGGGCACGGGCACAAGCCGGCTTGAGTAGGTTAAACGTTGAGTTTTATAAGGGCACCACAGGGTGACCAGCCCCTCCCCACCCAGCCCCTCCCTACCCTCCCCACTCTGCACGACGGACACAATAATCCCCTGTGAGCTGGTGTAACCAGGAGGTTCCTACCAGTAAAATCTATTTTAATAGCCACAGTGCACATGAAGAACGTCACTAGGCAGTCCTTCAAGAGGAGAGCCGCAGGTTATAATCCCCGGTCTAGAGGCATGGAGCGCAATTGAGGGGCTGTGTGTGGTGATTGTGGAACATTGGTGCTGGTAACGTGACCACGCTCATGCCTGCGCGTGTGTGTGTGTGTTGTTGCAGGTACAAGACTGGGAAGAACAAGTGGTTCTTCCAGAAGCTGCGGTTCTAATCTTGTCCCAGATTCATGCGCAATAAACATACAACCGGCTCTCCAGAACGTTATTACCTCCTGTGTGTGGTGGTCAGTCCTTGTGTGTTGCGTGTGCGCTCTCTGTTGTGTGTGGGGAGCGGTGGTGCAGCGGTTAGCGCGCTGCCCTGACGAACCCGGCGACCCTTGCTTGCGACCAATAATAGTGGCGAATATTTGAAGCAATCCTGGGCCCTCCCCTAAGTCGACTCGGCCTTAAATGAGTATCTGCTGCAGTGTGTAAACGACGCTGGGGAGACAGGCAGGCAAGTTTGTGTGTATTTTGGTGCTTCCGCGCACTGTACGTAGCCAACCTTGCTCACTGCAGGTGCGGGGACGGACGGCAAACCCCACCCAGCCCCTCGCGTGCCGTGCCGGCCTTCATAGGTGCTCCTACCAAACAACACTTTTCCCCCAACATGCTATGCATTTCGATTTAAAGCTTTCGTGACTGCAGGGATTCATCTTCTTGGTTCTTTCGGTAAAGCCACGTAGAAGGGAAATAAAAATGTAACAATAAAATACAATTCTCACGACGTTTCGGCCACAACGCAAGCAGCCGTCCTCAGGTGAAGAACAGGTCTGTCAGAAAGACAGCATCTGAATGCCATTCGCTTCATAGACGAGTGTAGTTTGCAGTCGTTTCAAAGACCATCTGAATGCCAATTCAAACGCTGTCTTTCCGACGGACCTGTTCTTCACCTGAGGGATGGCTGCTTGCGTTGTGGCCGAAACGTGAGAATTGTATTTTATTATGTTTTATTTTTATTATTCCCTTCGACGTGACTTTACCGAAAGAACCGAGAAGATGCTATACATCTATGTGCGTGTGCACTGTCGATGGATGGCTATCGGTGATGTTTGTGTGGTCAGTGGTGACGCGGCGAGGGTGTTGCGCCGCTGGGAAGGTGCCACAGTTGGAGCGTGGCGTGAGCGATTGGTCGATGTAGGGACAAGGGTGAGTGACCGAGCGTTCGATAGATTCCACTGGCATATAACCACTGCGGGCAGGAACCACACGCAAAAGAACACGCAGAATCAGAAGCGTAAATTCTGTTTCTAAAGGGCGATTTCTGTACATTTCTAGCGATTGAGTACAGATTTACATTAGCTAATCCGCTCTCTAGCCCTTCGTGGACGTAATGTACAGAATTTCGCTCGAGTGTGTAGCCCTTAGAGTACAATTCACATCGCTCGGCTCTAACCCTACAAGGACATCTACATACGAGTGAATTAGAATTTGTCACCTCCAATGAGGTTAGCATGCTATGAACCCTGCGACCCGAGTTTGATTCCTGACCACATCAGTCGTGGGTGATGTTTGGACCAGTCCTGGGCACCTCCCCCCTTAACCCGCACTGACCGGCGTGGTGAAGTATGGTCAGACAACCCTCGTCGTGACCGGCAATGTGTCGCAAGGCCGTCCAGTACTCAGCGAGCTGCGTTGCCTAACGGTTGTCGAATGAATGCACTCATTACACACAGCGCTTGCCACACAAGTTAGCCACAATACCTCTGCCGATCTCAAAGAGCATAAACCATCACGCAAACTCGGGTCATCCTCACAGCGGCTGTTGGATAACCATCGAACAAAGACGGGTACTGCATCGCGCGCTTTCAGATGTGCTACTGCGGCCGTCTGGAACGCTGTTCCGATATTAACTTATTTAGAGCTGCTTTGTGTTCTTCCCCCGCACCTCCGACTATCACGGTTGGCTGTGTAATTGTGTGAAAGGAGTTCAACGTACAATGGAGAGGTTTCCATGAAGGAGATGAGAACGGCTGTGAATTATGTTATGTGAAGGTAATCCGTCACTGATGGTGCCTGAGACGATAGCCACATTCAGCACACGAGATCTAGAATGTCTATAAAACTGAATTTTATTTTACTATACTCTTCTGTTCTTTCGGTAAAGTCACGGAGAAAGAAAATTAATAGATCACGACGTTTCGATCGCAACAAGCAACCGTAATCAGGTGAAACAAACAGCAGAACTGCTGACGTGACTTTACCGAAAGAACCAAGATTTATCTTCTTGGTTCTTTCGGTAAAGTCACGTAGAAGGGAAGTAATAATAACAATAAAATAATTCTCACGACGTTTCGGCCACAACGCAAGCAGCCGTCCTCAGGTGAAGAACAGGTCCGTCAAGTAGACAGAGCCGGCTGCTTGCGTCGCGGCCGAAACGTCGTGAGAATTGTGAGTAAATTTGAATAAATGTTGTAATTCTAGATTTGAAGCTTTCGTGACTGCAAGGATTCATACTCTTAGTTTTTTCGGTAAAGTCACGTAGGTAAAAAATGAAATTAAAATTAATTGTAATTACTGCCTTGGATTTCATGAACGTGCCCACATGGATGCGTATGTACGTTTAACTTCTTTCCACCGTACGTAGCCAACCTTGCTAATTGGAGGTGCGGAGAGAGGGAGGGTGGGATAGCAAACTCAACACAACAACAACAACGAGCACTTCGCTCTCCGTCCCTGCCCCCCTCTCTCAAGCTTTTTAAATCCTTTATATTAAGTTCACTTGCTTGCTTACGACCGTGCAAATCTTTCGGTCGTTTTTTAACCCACTTCCCGTGATCCAATCGAGCTGACATTTTGCACACAGACTCGTTGTGCGTGATAATTAATGTTCGTGAAATTTTTTTTCCAAAATTTTACACTGTTTAGGGAAAACAAATTAAATATTTAATTACCAATTGCTTAATACTGGCAGACAATCATCTGACCCATAGGTGGCAGCCATCTCAAGCCAGAGGACGAGAAGACTCTAGCCGCAACGCATATAAAGGATTTATAGTGAAAAACTATGTTTTTACGGGTTATACTTTTTACACCTCGCCACTCACCGTTTCCACTCATGGACATGCTCATTTCTCTAACCGCTCCCTCTCTCCCCGCCCCCCCTCTCTCTATTTAAGGCCTCGACACAGAGGCGTAGTTTCTCTTTGTGCCTCTCTCTCTATGTATCTCTGTGATATCTGTCTGCTTATATGTCTGTCCATGTTTTTGGTTCTGTGTTTAATCTCTCTCTCAAATTTAGCATTCTCAGGAAGAACGTAATCAAACAGATAGGGTGTTGACTGTTATGTTATCCGACTCTCTGTTGTATTACATTACATTTCTAAGTATACTAGATTTGTGTTTCTATTTAATTTATACCTGATGATGATTGCTTGTATCTTAACTTTGGAGCTTTCGTGACTGCAGGAATTATTCTTTGGTTCTTTCGGTAAAGTCACGTATAAAGAAAAAATAATAAATTAAATAATAGCATACGACGTTTCGATTGCAACACAGGTATAATGAAATAGCGACATAAAATCTAACCAGAAAAAATTATAGACTTGGTGATATCTGTCTGCTTATATGTCTGTCTATAATTTTTTCTGGTTAGATTTTATGTCGCTATTTCATTATACCTGATGACGATTGCTTGTGTTGCAATCGAAACGTCGTATGCAAGTATTTAATTTAATTTATTATTTTGATCTTTATACGTGACTTTACCGAAAGAACCAAAGAGTGAGTTCTAAAGTTGCGTCTCTCCTGGCGCGCCCTGAGATCGAATCGCAATCGGCGAGTTCCGGTGCGACCGACCGCGAGTTGGCAGCGCGTGTGCGGAGGTGAGACTCGGGCAGACAAAAGTGCTCCGTCGCCTGGTGCCTGCCTAATGGCATCGTAAGCAAACAGCGCGAGTTTGTTTGGCCACTTAAACGTGACATTACATTTGTGAGTCGGCCCTGGTTCCCGCCTGGGTCGGTGTGTTTTTTTTTCTTCTTTCCATGACTTTGGTAACGATTGCGTCCATAGAAACCGTTCCGAAATGATGACGTGGGGATTGGTCAGTAGGTCAGGGACGTCGTGGCCACGGTGCAGATTGGTGATAGGGGCAAGCAGAGAAATGATTAGGGGGGGTTTTCTATCGGCTAAGGATTTTGAAGGTGTCTTGAGAGACAATGACCGCTCGTGGAGATGGAGTGATGAAATCGAATCATGTTGCAGGTGCTGAGTGGATTGGTGAGGGGTATTTCATCGAGCAGTGGAGTGACCATGGCAGATGTATTGACCATGTCATAATATAACAACAACATTGACATTCCACTATAAGATCAGAACATTCATAGCAATGGCATTATATAAATATTTTTTTTTGGGATATCGGGACAATTTCGTTTAATGGGTAACGACGATACAGAGAGCACGTTTAAAGCAACAACATTTTCTGGGGCCCGGCCCTGGACAGCTCCAGACGAAATGAAGACCTGCGTATAAGTGCAATTGCATATTCCTAATACGGATTCACATTTGAACGTTTAAAATACGTATACAGTATATGCATTCATCGGTACAAACATGATGTTTAACACGTAGGCTTTCGCGACCAATATTCATAATAAACGTTATTGAGTTTAAATCGCGTTATTCATAAACGTGTCGTTAACCCTCCACCACCCGACACGGCCAATCAGTAAAAAAAGTGTCACGTTGACAAAAGACAAAATAGTTCACTACTTTAGCCCACCGGTGTGTTGAAGAGTAAATCCACAACATTAAATGTTGTGGGTCCACAAACATAATTGCGTGTGTGCGTATATAGCCGAACGATTTACAGCCCTATTGTCAATCCACTGCTTGGATGTGGGCCTCTCCGTGCTGAAGTGTTCCGATTTCAGTGCGGGGGTTGGTTAGAGAGGATCGGGGGGAGAGGCGAGTGGGAGCCTGGCCGTGTTGACACCGCGCTTGCCACCGATGATGCTACACCGCGGGCTGGGGTATGAACTCGGGTTTTACTGGTAGGGACCACCTGATTCCACCAGCCCACAGGAGATTATTGTGTCCGTCCGTCGTGCATCCAAACATGGGAGGGGTGGGGTTGGGTGGAGAGGGGAGGGTGGGGAGGGGCTGGTGGGGAGGGGTGGGGTTGGTGGGGAGGGGCTGGTCACCCCGTGGTGCCCTTATAAAACTCAACGTTTAACCTACTCACGCCGGCTTGTGCCCGCCCTCACAGTCGGGCATATTTGCGGAATA